AATTTAGATATGAGATATCCCCCACAGGCCTGAGTGCTTGAACACTGGTCCCAGGTATTACTCTTATGGAAGCTTTGGATGATAGGGCCTCAATGGAGGATCATGGGACACTAGGAGAGCTGACGTGGAGGATCACAGTCTATCCTTGGTTCTGTGTTGATCTCTCTACTCCCGACTGCTCAGTGACAGAACCTCATGCCTCCAACTCCTGCCGCCAAGCCCTCTTCATCATGAGGTAAAATAAGCCCCTCTGTTTAATTGTTTCTTTTGAGCCTTTTGGTCACAATGACAAGAAAAAAATTACCCAATATTCAATGGGACTGAAATGTAGAAACAGGATAAAAACACAAAGATAGCCCATAATTATGTTTTCAACCTGTAAAACTTTTCATTGCAGCTGTGTGTATACAATGCTTTTATAGTGAGGTTTTAAGGGCAAAGGTTTATTGCTCATTTCTTTTTCTTCTGAATATTACAAGGGCTGAGATTTCCTGTGCTTGGTTCCCTAATTAAAATGCAGATGTTAAAGCTATCTTTTGGGAACATTCCTGAGATAGGAAGATACGTTAGATAAAGTTTAAAGCAACAGAAAGCTACCTATTGAGCCTCCCGGCCTAAATGCAGATATTAAATCGATGAATGCTAGGTATGACTTAGAAAATGCCCAAGGGATCAAAGAAAAATACTGCAGCTATTGTTTGGTGTGAATTAGGAAGATCTAATTTTCTCTATATCTCATTATTTCACCCTTTTGTGGAATTTATACTTGATAGAAGAAAATGCTCTCTTGAGGATCAACTGATATCTACTTTTTAATGTGGAGTCCAAACACCATTTTTAAAAAAATATAAATGGTTGTTAGCAGTTGGGCTGATTGTGGATGACAATCGTCTGGATTGCTGAAGGGGTGGGGGTCCCAAAGCTGTTGTGCAGCCAGGCTCTACAGTATAACAAAAGATCGAGAATGGAGGTCCACTGAGGAGAAGCTGGCCACTCATGATCATTCTACACGTCTCTCTTGCTCCATGATGGTGGAGATGGAGCAATCTTTCATACAAGGACCAAGAAGATAAGTATACTAACTTCTGTTTCCACCACCAAAATCATAGTCTGGTACTCAGCAGCTGCACAACCACACACATTTTTCATCTCCTCACCCAAGCTGCTAATTTGATCTTCTCCCTTCAAAGTGAAAGATTTCTCTCTCTCTCTCTGGAGACAGAGTTTCTCTGTGTAGCCCTGGCTGGTTGTCCTGGAACTCTGTAGACCAGGCTGGCCTCAAATTCAGAGATCCTCCTGCCTCTGCCTCCCAAGTGCTGGGATTAAAGTCCTGTGCCACCACCACCACCAGGCTTCACTATTTTTTTTTAATTACTGGAATTAAATTTTCTCTTTTGATTCTATCATAAAATCAAACCTCAAAATGAATGCCAAGGTGATTTTTTCCATCAACTACATTTCCAGTACTCTGTAAAAGAGTTAAGTTGAGGGCTAGATCTTCCAAGCTGAACAGATCTGCATACATGTTCATATTTCCTCCGGAGAATTTTCTGGTTAATTGTCACACCTGTGCCTACTGATAGTGCAGGTCAGTGGACATTCCTTTAACAGGAGAATGTTCTGTCCATCTCTTGGTTAGTACAGGACAGCTGCCTTGCTGTTCCTTGACATGTGAAGAGCTCTCTTTAGAAGCACCCCTGACATCTCCCTTCAGTGAAGTAAACTCACCGATACTCTGGGTTTAAAGTTTAGTTTATTTTGACCTGTAAAGAGTAAATGCAGATATGGCATCTCATAATGTGTGCTTCTGATAATCCAGTGGTTGCTTTCCATGTTGGGATTTTTGCCGTATTCAGAAAAGAATATTAGGGGTGTCATAACCTGCCAATATCAACTTACTGATGTGCTCATCATCAAGTGGTGGTGTCATAACTAGTAACAGCTATAGCATTACAGCCTCAGGACCAAATATTAAATCCAATTCCTGGTGCACTTTGTATTTTCTGGGAAATGCAGTTACGAGTTCCACCTGGAATGCAGTGCATTGGATGACATTCCTCTTGGAAATGCGGCCACAAAGATTGCAATCCTGATGTTTACATTAAGGGTAGGAAAATGGGCCTGGAGCGATGTCTAAGTGGCTAAGAGTGCTTATTGTTATTGCATAGAACACAGGTTAGCCTCCCAGCACTCACAGGTATCCGAACATTGGTCCCAGGGGATCCAATGCCCTCTTCTGCATCTATGGGCACTTGTGTACATGTGATTCATATAAACTCATGCAGGCACACACAACAGCACAGAAAATAAATCAATCTGTAATTATAAATTATATATAAAGTAATATTATAAAATATTAGTTCCTAGGACTCTGTTCTTCCCTAATACAAAAGACTACTATGGTCACCTGGTGGAGGAAGTGTTAAGCTACATTTTAGAGAATGTTTCATTCTTTAAATTTCATTGGCGATGTATCTTCATCTTAGGTTGGACTCTCTACGCTGTTACAGTTTACCTACCTATCCCAAGGACAGGATCACTTAAAATTCTGCAGACACCAGCAATGATTCTTTACTTGGCAGGTTTCCAACTGTAAAATCCTTCACTTCTTGTGTGATGCTCATCACCACGTTCCCAGGCTCTGATCTCGGCATTCTGTAGACTTAGCTCCCTGGATGTGGTCCCCACAGCAGAGGGGCAGCAGCTGGAAGCACAGGGAGCCTTGCAAGGTCAGGAACTTGCCTCTGCATCCCTATTTTGAAACTGCTGGGCCATAGTTCTGCACTTAAAAAGGCCTTATTTTCTAACTTTTACTGTTCTATTACTAGGATATATTTAAAAAAAAATCACGTATGAGTTGGGGACTTAGAAGAATTCTTACAATTAAGCATCCATACTTGATTACTGTGCAGGGCATGTTGGAGACTATCCCAGTGCTTTGTATATGGTGGGCAGGCACAAAATCAGGGAGCTACATAACCAGCCCTAGTATTGGCAAAAGCCAAGAAGATCGGAGTTTCTTCATGAAAATTTTTCAGCACAGTGGGCACTACGATGTAATGGTCTGGAAATTCTAGACTTGGACGTTTTCTTTTCTGTAGCTTTTGGAAGTACTGGACTCTATTGAGTGTCATTTTCCCTGAGGAAAAGGCAACTGGTAATGTCCTTTTATTGTGAGGAGTGGGGGTTGATCTATGTGAAGCATTCAGCAGTGACAGGTATAGATAGGGAAGGACTATGAACTGTCACCATCTTTTGTTACATCCTTGATTTCTGCTTTCTCACTTGCCCCTCCTGTGATTCCAGATCATCGAAATTTCTTCACTCCCCACTTCCCCAAGTTGCTTTCCTAATATATTCCAAGTAAAGAAGAAATGACGAGTGTAACTGAGAAACTAGATGTCTTCCCACTGGTCACGGTGGCCCTGAGTGGCTTATTTCATCCTTCTGAGCATTGACTTTGTCATCTTGAAAAGAAAAGCTTGACTCAGAATTTATGGGCTTTGCTCATTTTAGTTTTAGCTTTAGTTTTGAAACAAGGTCTCACTCTGTAGCCTAGGCTGGCCTGGCATCCACTGGGTAGCTCGTCTGGCCTTGAACTTCCATTATCTCCTCTATGCTGGGATGGCAGGTGTGTGCTATTACATCTGGCTCAGGTGG